ATTATATATTGTGTTTTTGCTATTTTGTACATTGTCTATTTTGCATATTTGTATATTATTATTTTTTATTATCTATGTCCTGTCTTGTCACTGTCATTCTGTTGCACTGTGGAGCTTCTGTCACTAAAACAAATTCCTCATATGTGTAAACATACCTGGCAATAAAGCTCATTCTGATTCTGATTCTGATTCTAAAAAAGTATATATGTGCTAATTAATGTTTATTGTGTGTATTATTGTAATGACTTTGCATTAATATAATTAATGTGTCTGAATTTGTTCTCTCGTTTTTTTAGGGCACTCTGTGACTTCATCGACAACAACGGAAGAAAGCTGGAAAAGCACATTTATACTGTCAGATAAAAAACTGGCATGTCATGTCTTTAGTCACAGAACGAGGTCTAAAGACGACTAGATCCAAATGTGACTTTGGTCAAATTTGTGTCATGACCTTTTAACCCCCCTGTATTTTCAAACCATTAATTCTGACTATAGATAACAAGATTTATTAGATGTAGTGATGCAGCCTGGACATATTACTGGATAGCGTGTAAGGTGGTTTGCATGAGTAAAGAGGGAAAGACCCCTTTGCCTGCAGTGGGGGGGCTGACGGGCAAACAGCGTGACATCACAAGACCCATGTTTGGACGTGACAGCGAAGGATTGCCCACTATGGGTGCAGCTATGGGGCCGTTGCTGCTTTGGCTCCAGGATGTGGCAGCGGTGACCCTTCTAAGAGCTCGCAGAACGCTTCTAAGGGCCGCCATCCTGTTCTGTGTCCTGGTGCTTCTTCTGTGGGTCTCCATCTTCCTGTATGGAAGCTTCTACTATTCCTACATGCCCAGTGTCAGCTTCTCCACACCAGTGCACTTCTACTACAGGTACAGACACATCAGGGCTGATCAGGAACATTCCTGTCTTGTTTTTTACAATGGCCTGTTTGCGCACGACTGAGTTCTTAATTAGTTTGGTCCAATGAACAAATACTGTTGGAGGCATTACTGGGGTTCGCAATGCATTGTGGTTGATTCCTCTCTCCTCCGTTTCATCTTTTACAGGACAGATTGTGATGCTTCAGATTCAGTCCTCTGTTCTTTCCCCATGGCTAACATCTCACTTTTGAAGAATGGAAGAGACCAGGTAGACAAATTATAATTATAATCAAATTATAATTAAGTGCACAAAATATAGACAGGTTCCTCCAAAATTAGCTAATTATACGTCCAGTCCTTTAAAGCTTTGCTGTAAACATTATCTAACAAGCCCATTAATGATGCACAAGAAAATTATACTACTTGTGTATTATATAACGAATGTATGCAGGTTGAGTATAAAAATTTATTTTTGGTCGTATTTAAAGCTAGTTTTGTAAATACGGTTGACTCTTTCTGGTAGGTGATGATGTCTGGTCAGGCCTACAGGATCTCTCTGGAGCTGGAAATGCCTGAATCTCCTGTTAATGAACAGCTTGGCATGTTCATGGTCAAAATGTCTTGCTATACCACTCATGGGACAGTTGTTCAGTCGGTGGCCCGCTCAGTGAGTGCATACAACTCAATTCATTGTTGTTTTGGTTGTTAAGACAGCTGTTAATAAACATTATAGCATTTTAATTATATTAAATTATACCAATAATCTGATGAGTTTTGATAATTGCTAAAAGTGAATTTAGGCATCACAACATTAAAATATACAGTATGAAAATGGATATTCATTTTAAAATTTGCTAAAGATGTAACAGCATTATTCAATTATTTGTGTTTTTACCGAGCGGCAACCTTCCGGTCTCTCTCGTGAAGCCAACACGGAAGTGACTAAAACTGCAATTCATCGACTGGCCGCTAGAGGCTGGCTCCAAAAGGGAGTCAGTCCCATAGACTCCCCATGTTAAAATGCCCAACTTTACAGCAGAAAAAAATGTGTTTACAGCCTGGTACAAAAAGTGGTTTTGGTCTATATAGCTAATTTTGCCCTTCATGACAACTGTGAGGGGGGTGAATTTTTTTATAACTCATCCATTTAAATTATATTAAGCCTTAAAGTTCTGCATAATTAAGGGCGTGGCCACTTGAGTAACAGGTGGATTGCCGCTGCTGATACTGCCGTCGAGCAAGGTGGGCATGGTTTCAGCAACCAGCTCGAGCTTCTTTGCCCATTTTCGATTATCCGGAAGTGACGCGCGGTGACGCGCTGCCAAGATGGCCATGGCCGACTCCGCCTACTTTGAGCTTCAAAAACGCTCTTCGGAAATCTACGGGTGACGTCACGGAGACTACGTCCATGCTTTTATACAGTCTATGGTTTTTACTAGTGCTGTCAAACGATTAATCGCGATTGTGTGTGTACTGTTTATATTTATTATGTATATATAAATACACAC